AATCTAGCCTTTCAATGATCTTACTGTTCCTATGATCAGGTGGGCATTATCAACATAGCAGGAAAATTTCAGCATGGTTAAGCAAGTTGTTCAGTCACATAGCTACGTATAGGGCAGTTAATAGGCAATTGTCAGGACTGTCCAGTTCTCAGAGGACAACTTTTTCCACTGTATTGCAGTGGCTTTTCCTTACCTGGGTCTCAGCACTGCATCTTCCATGGTCTTTTCTTTCTGGTATGGTCCAAGACCAGGTCACCTCTGCCTTGCTCTCTAGCCCAGCAGCCCCAGCTCCCTGGGCCTTTCCTTCCTCTGTACCTCCGTTCAAGTCTTGTAGAATATCCTCCTCAGCTTCTCAGAAGGCTGTGGTTATCAGTAACAGCTCCCTCTTTTCCCACTGAACTTTGTCCTCTGCTGTGTAGAGCACTACGTGAGAGTAGCTTGTGAGACCCATCATTGTGATAACCAGACCCTGAGAGGGGCTATCATTGATGGAATTTAGAAACCACCAGGGTCCTCACAACCTGCACAAGGACCAGCACTTGTATTTAGTCACCTCCTGGATTTCCTCTCTCCAATAGGTTGGAAAATAAATCGCTTGAACTCCGTTGTTGGTGAATATGCCAGTATGTGTTTACAAGTGGCTCAAGACTGTGGGACTGATGTTCTTGACCTATGGACCATGATGCAGAAAGACAATGAGGTACAGTGACTTTGCTCAATCCTTCCAAGATGAGTGGGATCACAAAGAAGCCAGCCCTTTCAGCAAAAAGGGTGGGATAGCTTGGAGAAAGGAAGGCGCTGCATGAATTTACCTGGTTCCTCAACTAGGAGTTACTGTTTAGTGACATAGAAAGTTAAGACATTAATAAGTAAAACAGTGAATTCAAGCAGCTTATGGTATTCGCTATACCATTCACAGCTTAAGACATGTAGTTCTAATTAAATTATTTTGTTTTAAAATAATGAAACCCCATTTATAAGTATAAAAGATAAAAAGCTAGTCCTCATGCAGAATGGTACAGGAACACAGCTGGACAGTTTCTTATAGTTACATATATACTACCAGAGGACCCAGCCCTCCAATCCTGAATGTACCCAAGAAATGAAAACCATGTCCCCAGAAACCTAGCATGTAACTGTTCATAGCAGCATAATGCATAATTGCCRGAAGCTGGAATCAACCTGTGTGTCCTTTGAGAGTGAGATGGTAAACTGGTTAAGCCAGTGCAGAGGTGGGAAGTGCTGTAGGAAGTGCAGCAGCCAGGATGAAGCCCAGAGGCATTTCACTGAAGGAAAGAAACAAGATTTGAAAGGTTACATCTGTGATTCCATCTATGTGACATTTMCAAAGTCAATACTGTAGTGACACAWCTCATAGCCAGAGGTTAGGTGGGGAGCCTATGACAAAACTGAGGTCCTACATAGATCCCAGTGAGTGGCACAGGAGAGGCACAGTCAGACACAGGGCTTTCTTCCTCTTTTTTCCTTTTGTACTCACTTTTACACGTTAGTTAAAAGGCTTGTGCTACAGGGCACTTAAAAAGGCCATTTCTTTGCTCTGCTGAGACCTAGAGAAAATGATGACTGTGACAGGGACTGTGGCATTTTCAGAGGAAAAGGATCCAGGGCATAGGAAGTTCTCTGAACAAAAAACTCAGCCTGACTCAGTTTACTCTCTTCACAGCCATTAGGTTTGGCCATCTGGACAAAAGAAGGTAGAAAGGAAACAGCCAAGAACTTACCAAACCAGATGCCAATTTTTTCCTTCCCACTTAAATTCATATCAGTCCTTCAAAAGACCCGGTGGTTTCTAACATTCACACACTTATTTTGTATATATAATGGGGACAATGGTAACCAGTAAGAGCCATACCACCATGTGGACAATGAGCATTGCCAGTCATCTTTGGAGGTTATATTTGGGGGGTACTGGTGATTGAACCCAGGGGACTCCACCAGTGGGCTATATCCCCAGCCCTTTTTACTTTATATGAGGCAGGATGTCTCCCCATATTACCCAGATTGGCTTCAAATTTAATGATCTTCCTGTCTCAGCTCCAGAGTAGCTGGTGTGTACCTCTGCACCTGACTGGAAAGGACATTTTAAAACACTTGATTAGTTATACTAACGAGTCATTTTAACACACCAGGATCCTAGAATGGAGGAAACATCAACCATCCAGAAGAGGATACTGAGGTTTAGGGAGAAGCACTGCTGGAGTCTATGATCTTGGTCTGTGAAAGCCATATAGCTTTTCCATGCAAACTCTAAAGTGGATTGGGCAAGAACCCTTGCCTGGCCAAGAGTTTTCTGTAAGGGAGAAATGGCTCTGAGGGTGGCTATTAAGGGGAGTGGCAGTAAAACAGGAATCATAGCCCAATAATTCTTGTTCTCAGTTGGATTGTCATTTCCCGAAAACCTTGCCTAAGAGTCACATGAAACTGACTTACTAGGACCCTAAGGTATTTTTTAAATTTTCCTGGTACTAGGGATTAAATTCAGAGCCCTGAGTGTGCTAGGCAGGTGCTCTGCTACTAAGCTACATCCCCAACCAGACACCCTGAGCTTTCTTAATAACAGGTTTTTCATTTTTGTTATTTACATTAAAGAATCATTCACTCATTAAGCCTCTTTCAGCTGATAACCACTTTAGAGTGAAGGCCTATAGTGCTGTCCCAACTCAGGCACATAGTGGTAATGAATTTTATGAAGCTCAGGTCTAATATAGAGAGCACCAGCACATATCTCACATTTATGCTGCTGCTGTGGTCTGAGACAWTTCAGGTCAAATGCCTGAAACAAAGGGCTGGTGAGTTCTGACTCAGGCCCATACTGGGAGGAAAGCACACACTGGCAATGAGAAAAACTATACAGTTTTACTGTGACTTTTCTTTACAGGACTTCTCATCCTACTTATCCCCTGACGGACTACATCTATCACCAAAGGGAAATGAATTTTTGTTTTTACACCTCTGGCCTCTGATAGAGAAGAAGGTCTCTTCTCTGCCTTTGCTGCTTCCTTACTGGAAGGATGTAGCAGAAGCACAACCTGAACTAAGTCTACTGGGAGATGGAGACCATTAGTCAATTCTAGGAAATRCAAGTCTGGTTGTTAATTTATAGATTGAAGTTGGTGATTATAACATATAGATTCCAAAGCAATTGAGTGCAGAATATTTTTTTCTCAAGCTTAAAATTCCTCCTCACTATGCTGGACCAAAACACCAATTTTTGCCACTAATGTTTATAATAAAAGTTTTGAGATTCTTCAGGGAAGCTTTGTAAGTTGAGCAGATTCTGTTTTGATAAATGTTTATTGACTGGTGCAAGTATCATCAGTGCCATCCTGAGCAGTTTGTTAATCCTATACATGGCAAAAAAAGGAAACACAATTTTTGTTTTAAAAAGTCACAATTTTATTAAAAAAAAAAAAAGTTTTCTTACATTCTGCTGAGAACCGTTTCACTCATACATACACCCACTCACCTTGTATCAAATTATGAAAGTGGAACTAAAATATAAGACTATCCTGACAAGTTAAAAGATAGCAAATACCATAAGGTACAAATTCAAGTATTAGTGTAACAAATAACATTGAGTAACACATGTCCTTACAGGAGAAGAAAGCATGATTGTCACAAGTTTGGTTAACTGCCCTCAAAATTTACAAGTCATCTTGGTTAAAATGTGTTGTCTGGTAAGCACATTTTAGTTCACAGGAGAAAACAAGTAATTTTATGAAGATCAGAATTCAGGCTATGATTTTTTTTTTCTTTAATCCTTCACACGGTAACAACAGACCATCCAGAATCCTGAAGCACTTGGCAAGAAGTCATGTGACCATCTACTTGTGGGTAATTAAAAAGGGTTTCTGAAGTATCAGGTCTAGTAGGGCCAGACCCCTGCCCCAGGACAGGCAGTGTTCCTTTTCCTGGCTTGTCACATCTCAGCATATTCAAAACAACCTGTTCTTTGGTTAAAAGTATCTCATTTACCCTCTTGTCCACTAACTTAACAATAGGCAACTGTGTTTTTTTGGATCATATTTTGTAGTACTGTGGATAAAGAATTTTTAAACGCATAGTAAACAGYATTAAGGATATATGAAGATACTTATAAAACACAGAAAAGCTACCCAGCAAATCGGAGACCTGAGAAATTAACAGGCTATCTATATATTTAACTATTGTAAACTTCACTATAAACTAGGTTGTTTTAATCCTAGAAAGTACTAGCCTTAGGAAAAAAAAACCCTATTCACCCAAGTTATTTGTAAGTTTAGATGTAGCTTTCTCCCTGCTGTGAAAAGATCTGGGTAATACCTAGAAACACCCACGTTTTGGCAATAATAGATTATCTCATTCCTTTGCCTTTACTTGAAAAAAAAAAATTGTTCCAGTTGTCCTCTCAAATAACTGCTAAGTGCCTCATAGGGTCATTACAGTATATAAAAGATAAAAACTGATCATCTCCCTAATCAGTGCTGTTATCAATATAAAGGTTAATTTACAGTAATCTAACCCAGCTGTATTTTCTGCTTTTGCACCACCAGGTCAAAGGCTGTTTTGAAGCTCAAAAACACTAAAACCTGAAAGTCTGAAAATAAGCCAGATTCACCTGACCTCTTCAAAGGAAGAGGGTCTAACTAGACAGCACTGCTTATGTGAAGGAAGCTCAAACACATGGCCAGCATTTGCTGTTGAGTCATTTCCTTATTCCTCCCAGTTCTTCACAAGATATATGCCATGCTTCTGGGCCAAATTTATAAAAATATTTGCACGTGTAAGTCAAAATCACTTAGGACATGACCCCTCACTAGCACTCAGTTTCTTTGCTGTCCACACGGTTCTGACGCTGCAGTTTAAAGGAAGCAGCCTTTTCACTTCTGGTGACTGGATGGCCCGTGAGATCCTCAAAGGACTTGGCAGCTGTGCCACTGTTAGGGAAGGGGTCCTTTTCAAAGCCATCCTCATCCATATGTGAGTCTGTGCTGGGGTCTTCTTGGATGGTGTCCATTCTCTGGTGGTCCAGTTTTGGAGCAGCAGACACTGGTGGCATCACAGGGGTAGGCTGTAGGGGCTGCAGGCGGCCTGGAGTCTGGGGTGCAGGAAAGGGCTTGATAATTCGAACTGAGGCCGAATCCATGCTGCTTAACATCTCAACATTCTGGAAAGATGTGGGTTTTAATTGATGGGAATAAAAGATCAAAGGTTCTTAAGCTCCAACCTTACCCATCAAGTGGCCCAGTACTGTGATCCTTTGTGCTAAAGCAAAGTGCCAGATATCAGGCTCACTCAACCCAAGAAGTTCAGAACACCTTTCAGATATCCTGACAACTTGGTATTTAGGCATCCAAAAGAGAACTCAATTATAAAGATCTATGACAGGAAAAGATCTGAAAACAAGTCAGTGCTGAACAGCTAAAGCACTCCAAACAGCTGTAGGGAAGGGGAGCCCAGGGCTCCCCTCTAAATATCTGTCCACCCAACTAATAGGTACATCACTGCTGTCAGGAGAGTTCACATGCAACCTAGATCCTTTTAGCCAAAAGGGCTGAGCTGTAAAGGTATAGACTCTTGGTGGGTGTCAACTGAAGATCTTTGCCTAATAGGATCTCAAAATGTAACCAAAAATTATTCTTTATTTTCATGTGGTATACTTACACTGGGGTTAAACAGAGACAGCGATTCATATTGCTTATCCAATTTCTTATCCTAGAAAAAAAGGAATAGTAAGAAAAAACAATTCCTACACACCCACACCTCAGTGGATACATATTCTTTCCTCCTAAGATTAAATGAGGAACTCAGAAACTGAACCATAATGTGGCAGCATGGGAGTGGAGTATGGCTCCGTGGTGGGGCACTTGCCTAACACATGCAGCCCTGGGTTCCATTCCTCCACCTGGCATGAAAGTGTCACAGGGTGCACTACATGAGAACATGTTTCTTGCATAAGCTTTACAGTTCTACCAGGAGAATAGAAATGTTTACTCTGCATAAATATTGGTATTAGCATGGAAAGGCAGGGTTTAAGTGCTGCTTTTCTGAGAGAACTCTCACCCTGTGAGTAGATACCACGGGAATCTTGAGGACAAAGTCAAAAGGCTGATGCACCAGTATTGGCTGCAAGGGCAGCAGGCAGGAGACCAAGATGGCAATGCTTGCCTTCTCAGCACTGGCCCCACCCTGCCCCACCCACAGCCTCACACTCTTCGCAGCTGTATACACAGAAACCAAATTATTGGAGGAGCTGGGCCTCAATCCTTATATTTCTGCAGAAGACTAAATACAAAGCCATCTGCTCTCTCTTCCGGTTCTTGTGTGTGGCTGAAGCGTAACAAGTGACAAAGGCAAGGCAGCACCAAAAATCAGGGTCTCAGCTCAGATCTACTGCCATGATGGTTTTTTCTGTGGCTAGAAACAAGCCATCATCTACCAACCCACAAGTCACAGAATCTGTTCTGAAATCAAGAGTAGCTGTGCGGTCCTTAGTACAACTTCCACTGTAAACAAAACAGGYTTAACTCCAGTAAAAGCAATCGTGAAGGACACAGCTCTTCATCACCTCAAGAAAGCCCTGCTGTAGCAGAAATGGTCCCCAGAGAGTTTGCTCCTATACCATATCATCATGCTGTCCGCCCTAAGGAAAAGCTGTTCAGTGAGGTACCTGCTAAGTCTGAGAACCCAGTAGGAATGAAAAGCAACTTTGCCATGTGAGCTAGCTATGCTAGAACTCTTCCAGCTCACAGGAGCAGAGTGAGCATGAGTCAGAGAATAAGTCTGGAAGTCTGAGTCTGACTTCCTCATCTCTATAGCACACAGCCCCCATTCCCCATAGATGCAAGGTGAATGGGTTTRCAAAGAAAAGTTTGAAAAAAGGCTCAAATTTATAAAGTACCTGGAATTCCTTAAGCAAAGCCCAAATTAATTTATAATTGTTAACTCATTTTGAGCAAGAAGAGGAAAGAATGCTCCTTCTTACTTTTGGAAAGATGTAAATGCCCTATACAATGCTAAGAATCCATATGGATACTATGTGAGGARCAGCTTTGAAATGCTGATGTTTGATTTTTAGTGTTAATAACTCGTTAACCTGAAAATGCTCTTGTATAAAAAGCTTTGCTCAAAGGTCCCAGGCAAATCCAATTAAATAAGTCTGCATGTAAAAGTGTAAAATACCTAAGAAATTACTTATGAAAGTAAAACACTCAAAATAAGAAAAAAGACCATCAGCTAAGATGTCTATATGATAGGCTCTCCTAAGAAAACATCAAAAAATGTCAGTAGAAACATCAGGACAGACTTTGCTAAGAACAAGTTTTCTTTTCCAAAATTTACATGTTACATGGAATTGCTCAACATTTTAATAAAATGCTTGGTTACTTAAAAATTGGTGACTTACCACACAATGAACAAGAATGCTGAAAGGAATCCAAAATATCAAGGAGAAAACCAGGACAGATCCTACGATGTTGTCTGCTAAAAACTTCCCTGTGAACAATTCCAAACATAAATGTCTTGACCAAGAACTTTACAAATCACAACGGAATTCTCTTAGACTATTATGGYTGGACACCACTACCCACTCTGTACTGAGAGGAACGAACATCTTGCTCCTGCATTGGACTCAACCATTTCCACACCACATGCTATTAGAGAAACAACCTTGGCACCCGGAGGACGAAGAGACTGCAGTGTCCAGCATTCTCCCCAGAGTGAGTAACTATGCCAAGATACTAGGCACTGASAGTGCCACTACTTGGTAGCCCTTTCTTGAGAAGACCATGTTTTTGTCACTTGGATACTATTATTTTTGTGACTGACTTCTAAATTGGGTACCCTTGAGAACATAATACATACCAATGCTTTGCAAAATCGGATGCCCACTTTTTTTAAAATATTTTTTAGTTGTTCATGGACCTTTATTTTATTTATTTGTATATGGTGCTAAGAATMGAACCCAGTGCCTGAAGCATGCTAGGTAAGCGCTCTACCACTGAGCCACAACCCAAGCCTCTGATGCCCACTTTTATTTATTTTTTTAAAGGGCAATTTTTATTTTTTTTTAATATTTATTTTTTAGTTGTAGGTGGACACAATATCTCCATTTCATTTTTATGTAGTGCTGAGGATTGAACCCAGGGCCTCATGTGTGCTAGACAAGCGCTCTGCCACTGAGCCACAACCCCAGCCCGATGCCTACCTTTAAATAAATAAATCTTATATCAAACAGGAGACAGATTTACAGTATTTCCCTCCTTTGAAAATTCATATATCCAAGCTACACACGGACAGAACTATAATGAGTGAACTATCCTGGTCAACAAAACTGTTATATTTTCATTTTCTACAGGATGAGAGCACGA